ATCAGCTTCTCTCCAAGGAAAGGAGCAGAGGTTTTGAGGTTTCCGTCCTTCTCTATGTACTTATGTGCATATTTATTCATGTGTACTTGTAGAAATAAGTCATCTTTTAAGTGTACACCAGCATTAATTTATTACTGCTCTCCCACTGCTTTTATTTGACCCAAGAACTGGTTCTCTAGGGTTTTCAGGTCATTATATCTTGACATTACTCACTCTGTTTAATTTCTAATGTGAGTGTTACATAGTTTACTCAACTATCCCTCTCCCAGAGGTGTTTCTGTCTTTCCACGATTACAAACAATGCTTCAGAGAACTTCTTTTAATATCCCTATCTGAATATATGGGCGAGAGGTTCTTTGGGATAAATATGGGAGTGGAACTGGGGCTTGTAGGGTGTGTGCATTTTTTAATGAAAGACCTTGCCAAATTCCTCTTCCATGAACACTTCTTACAAATGTGTTGGAGGGAGTTCATTTGCCCACAGCTTCCCCTACACTTGACATTATCAGACTTTGTAATTTTGGCAGTCTAAGGAGGAAGAATTAATCTTCTGTCTGCTCTGGCCGCTTTGATTGGGTCTGGGGTCTGAGAGGGAGCCTGGTGCTGTTTACAGAGATTTCCAGCTAGCCATGTTCACAGCTCCATCTTTCACTTCTCCTCATAGGGTCCCTGGTGCCCAATTCCTGAGCTTCTGGGGTTTGTGTTGAGAATCTGCTTCTGGTGGGCTTCCTGCCTTCCCCCTCTCTGCCCCTCCCAACGATCCTGAGCCCCAGGGCTCCGCTTCCTCTCTACTGTTAGTTACATTTTACGATCTTTAAAACTTTTGTGGATATTTCTCATCTTCTTTTGTCTCTTCTTTTACTTTCTTTAAATATGCCTTAACTGTCAGCTTAACAGAGTTTTAGGAAGGAGTAAAAATTCATGTGATTATTCAACCTACTGCATTTCATCAAAACTAATCTCTACAATCTCTTTTCAGACCGTCAGCCTCTTAGAGGCGGGAAGAGCTAATATTACTTCTGTATCTCAGTTCCTAGCACCATGCCTGGCAAATAGGGGTGTGGCTTGGTACCTGTTTCTTGAATGGAGGAGTGGGTGAGAAAGTACTTGAACATCTCAGGCTGAAGGGAATGGTGTCTAGGTAAGGGTTCCTAATTTACATGGCAGGCAAATTCAAGAAGTCTTGTACACTTTTACATTCCTCTCTTCTAGCTTATAGAATCTGCTCTGTTCACTTGCTTGAGTCTGTCTCCTCTTCTAGGCTAAACTTGAGTCTTGCTTTAATGACCTACTGACTTACCAAATAAACAATTGTGTATCCATCTAAGCAGAGAGGACAAGTTAGGACCTTGGCAGGGGACATTATGCCTTTCCCAACTTGATGACTTTCGCCAGGTCAGTAGAGGAAGGCACCTTGACCCCTCTCCCGTGAGAGGAGGGACAGAGTTAGTGGTTGGGGCTGTGGCTTTCGGTAGTTAAATATCTGGGCTTGAATTCCATGTCCCTACTTATTTATGTGAACTTGGTCAAGTTATTAACCTTTTTGAGCCTCGGTTTTCTTGTCTGTAAAATGGGAATGATAATACTTAGCTCACAGGATTAGTTGAGCTATTTGGAAGTGTTTAACATAATGACTAGCACAGTAGGTGTGGGCTATCATCACCTTTGTCACTATAGTCACCAGCATCATCACACCATTTCATTCTACCCAGGGGACTAGGACTTTTACTCCCAGCTACTTACCAGTGGTTAAAACTCTGCTCCCTTTAACTTCTCCCCGCTGGGAACTGCAATCTGCTTTTGCTAAGTTTAAGAATCTTCTAGTGTAGGTCCTGGGGGGAGATGCAGATAGAGCCCTTGGCCTCAGGACTTGGAAAGTAATTCCAGCTCAGACTCAGTTAGCCTTGTGGCCTTGGGCAAGTCATTTTACCTCTCTGAGCTTCCTTGGACTGGATCAGCTTTTCCTGTAGTATGTGAATTATTTTTTTTCCCAGTAATTCCATAGCTATAGACCAACGTTTTTTAAAGATTTATTTTATATGAAAACAAATATTAAAATGTGAAGAAAATTAAGCTATAAAGATAGTCTTCATAGAACAACATATAATAGCAAACCTGGTTAACATTCTGTGCATCCAACAAAATGGACTGGTTAATTTAGGGTATGGATTATCAATAGGCATTTCCTGACGAAAGAATCCATGGTTCAGTATATTTGGGAAATGTTACTTAAATAGTTAAGTAATAATTATCAGTGATAATTATCATAATAACATGCAATATAACAATAACACTATGTAGCAAAATAATAACATTGTTTGAGCACTTATTATTTGCCAGGCACCATGATAAACCCTCTACAAGCGCCACCTCATTTAACGCTCGAAAAAACTCCACAAAATAGGTTGTTATTATTTTATTATTACCTCTGTTTTACAAATGGAGGACCGAGGTTTTCAGAGCCTTTGGGACTGTGCACTGTGAATCTCCAAAAGGGAGTCGGAACAAGCACTGTTTCTGATCTTGTCTGAACGTGGACCCCTGTTCCCACACGGATCTCATGGTGCAGGAGCTCTGCAGAAATGAGCTGGGAGAAGGCTGGGCAGGATCCTCTCTGCATCCCTTTGAGCTCTAACATTCCCTTCTTGTCATTCTTGACCCCATGTGCCCCTCCCTTGCAGACTGAGGACGCCAACCTCCCCCCCTCCCCCTGCCACGCCAGCCTGGAGACCAAGGCTTGAGAAGGGAGCCCCACTGACCAAAAGCCACACTGCTCATGGTGGAAGGTGCTAGGCATTGTTCTGGCCAGCAGTCAAGCCTGGGGGTGCCTGCCCTTGAGTTGGCATAAGATTTTGGGAGAAGGGACCCAAAAGACTTGTTTTGGAGTTGGGATTTCCCTAGAAGGAAGAGCAGCACCTCTGTTACACTCAGGAACCCAGACCACGGGGCCGAGGGTCAAGAAGATGGAAGGAAGCCTGTGGATCTCCTGCATGTCACTGACCCCAGAGCTTCTGTTTCCTCATTTGTAAAATGGGGACAAGAATACCCTTTCCAATGGGCTGCTGTGAGGATCCAATGAGATCTGAAAAGCCTTTGTTAAAAAGATACTACACGGCAGTCAGTTATTCTTATGATAATAGCCTTGTGGTAGAGGGCTGGGACTCCAGGCTCCTCTGAAGTTTAGGGAACTCACAATCCCTTAATCTTTGGGAGAGAACTGTTGGTCCTATTCTTTGTTTCCTAATACAAAGTCCCTTTCCAGAACTTCCTATCAGGCCAGACAAACAGATTCTGGCTGAGGCTAAGTGTACATAGCAACTATCTCCCTTTCCCCCACAAGGAGCCGACTTCCTCATTAGGGCCAAATAAAGAGAGTGACTCATGTCAGAACGGCCCCGGTGGCTACAGGCTACAACCTTTATGAAGGACCAGCCACACCTGCTTTCATGGCCACCTTACTCACTCCTTTCTCTTTGGTGCCCAACCCACTTGCAGGCCTGGTTCACCAGTTTAAACAGCCTCAGGCTAGCCTTCCCGGTGGCTCGAGGCTGCACCTGCTGGGTTAGGGGTGTGTGTGGGGTTTCCTGTCCCTGTTCTGGAATAAGTTGGTGAATGGGGATTGATTTCAGAGGCTGGGACAAGACTTCATTTAGCCATAGGTGAGAGACAATATGCAGAGAGGAGGGCTGAGATTTCATGGGGGAAACTGAGGCCCAGAGATGGGGAGTGACTGGACCATTTCCCTAGCACCCTGTCAAAGCTCGTAGGGCCCCTGTCCCGAGACTGGGTGAGTGCTCTGACATAAGGATGGAAGAAACCACGGGGATAGTTCCAAGGAGGGATGAGGTCCCTGGGGACAGTAACTAGGCTGAGGAGTCGGCAATGTCCTGCAGTGTCTGGCAGGAGGCGTGACCCTCCAAAACGATAGAAAAGGTGGTGGAATTGTTGGATGAAGTGCAAGACTCCAGCTGTGTGTGGAGAGGAGGGGTTCCTTCTTCTATTATCAAAACTCGCTTTGTTTGTGGCACCTTGGCAGATCCCGCCCAGCCATTTATTCACTCATCCACGTACTAGGACAGGACTGTCACACACAAGGATTCAGCCTCCGACCTCCTCTTTCAGAAACTCACAAGGAGGGATTCTATCCCATTTTTGTCTCTGGGTGGCAGGTGCTAAATGCTCCTGGGTGTTACCTGCCTCCCTCAGGCTCAGATTTCTCATCTGAGGGAACCACTGAATGAGGGCATGCTTCTGGGGCTGGAGGGTAGGGGGCTGTCTGGTGGGAGGGTGGCAGTGAGAGTCCCCCGAGTGTGTGGTGGGGGTCAGGCCTCAACTCGTGAAGGTGCCCTGGACAGTCCAGCTGCAGAATCGCTCTCAACAGCTGTTCCTAGAAGCCTGTTGTCACCTTGCGGCTTTTATGGATACAGCAGGGTGGGGCAGCTTTGTCTCGGGAGGCCAACGACTGCAGCTCAGAGCACCCTTATCTGGGGAACTGAGGGGGAGTCAGGGTGTGGGTGATCCCCAAGGGCTAGGCTCTGAGAGGCTGTAATTCTGAATGGGGTGTAGGAATCTGATGGACGGTACTTCGAGGGGTTAATTATGACCACAAAATGATCCCAAGGAAGGGACTCAGAGCATGATCCTAGAGGGGGCCTCTGAGTGAGTGACTGCTGGGGAAGGAGAGAGTGAGGTATACTCGTAGAGGGACCCTAATTGCAAGGGGGCGTCAAACTCGAGGTGATCTTCTCAATGAGGGAAGTCCAGGACGTGAACTGGGTGTCTAAGTATGTGTGTGATGGGGCAGAGATAGGAACGAGTGTGAGGTCTGGGCTCGGGAGTGGGCTGGGTGGGGCAGCTTTCCGCAGGGCAGGAGCCTCTGGCCTTTGGGAGGAGAGAGCTGGAGGCAGAGCCGCCAGGAACTGACCAATGGGGAGAGTGCCGTATTTGGATTCTGGAGTCTGCACATTCCTCGGGGCTCAGATATCCGCCCTCACGCCATTCCCCCTCCCTCCCACCCCGCCCCGGGCATAAAAGGCTCCAGGTGAGATCCTCCGCACTCCTGTCGACTGCAGCTCCTCGGACCAGGATCGCAGTACCCTCTCTCGCCATGACTTCCTACTATCGCCAGTCGTCCGCCTCCTCGTCCTTCGGGGGCCTGGGCGGTGGCACCGTGCGCTTCGGGGCCGGAGGCGCCTACCGTGCGCCCAGCATCCACGGGGGATCGGGCGGGCGCGGCGTGTCGGTGTCCTCCGCCCGTTTTGTGTCCTCGTCCTCCTCCGGGGGCTACGGCGGCGGCTATGCGGGCGCCCTGGTCGGGTCCGACAGGCTGCTGGCGGGCAACGAGAAGGTGACCATGCAGAACCTCAACGACCGCCTGGCCTCCTATCTGGACAAGGTGCGCGCCCTGGAGGCGGCCAACGGCGACCTGGAGGTGAAGATCCGCGACTGGTACCAGAAGCAGGGGCCCGGGCCTGCCCGCGACTACAGCCACTACTACAAGACCATCGAGGAGCTGCGGGACAAGGTGGGCGGCGGCCGGGAGCGGGAAGTGCACCTGCCACGGAAACCCAGCCCTGCGGGCCGGGCGAGGCCCCAGGCGCCGGGGCCCGCTTTCGGCGGGGCGGGAGCGAGCCCGTTAGGACGTGGGAGGGCCGCAGGGTGGGGCAGAGAAGGGGACAGGTGAGGATAGGTAGGACAATGGGGCAGTAAGCG